TCACATTGTGTTTTAGTGACAACACTCCCTGTTTTAATCTGCTGTAAATGCAACCTCGACACTTCCTCCATGTTTACCTGTTGTCTTGATATATTTAGCATGACACATCATGTCGTCCCCACCACTCGGACACTCTAATGATAACACTGTATCCATTCACCAGTTCATTTCAGTGGCTTTCAGTTCGCCGTTTCACCCTCAAATAAAACACTTCCTGCTCAAGACGTTTCACACGAAGCCATTTAGCAGCTCAAGAGGGAATACTCCCTTGTGTACCTGACAGCTTTTTATCTTTATTATTACTTCATTTGTATGCATATTACCCACTCTCACCATTATGTCTGTCCAAATAATATCCCATCTTAAATGCAATGCAATTCAAATGAGTAATTAAGTTATTCATTTAATTGCAAAGTGCTTTGTGAATCTTACAAAACGAGACATTACCTTGTTTGTGTGTTTTTACTGAAAAAGTATTTTGTATAAATATGTATAAAAATACCTTATTCGAACAAAATAATCGAACAAAAAGTTCGGAAATTAGTGTTTGGTAGATTATTTCTCTGTTGTAACAATGCTTCTTGGCAATAAATTGTATACCGTTGGAAAGCCTGTATTTACCTTTCAAACCCCATTTGTAAGGAACATGCATTTCTGGGATGAGCAGCACAGCCGAGTATGTGGGTTGCGGCCATGAAAAATTTGCCAAATCTTCTCTGCCTGAACATGTGGAGGAACGTTATGATCAGCGATGAGTCCAGATTCTGCCTAAGGAAGTTGGATCGTAGGGTCAAAGTGAGGAGAAGACGGGGAGACGCTATGCTGATTGCTGCACCAAAACCTTTTGGTGGAGGCAGTGTGATGGTGTGGGGCGGCATCTCCATCACTGGAAAAACGAGGCTCGTCTTCATTGGAGGCAATCTCAATGCAGACAGATATCGAGATGAGATTCTGCAACCAGTGGCAATCTCATTTCTCCACAGTCTGGGACCGAACTCCATCCTCTAAGATGAAGACGCTCGCCCCCACAGAGAGGTTTATCAGAGAGTACCTCCAGAATGTGGGAGTAGAGAGGATGGAATGGCCTGCCAACAGTCCTGACCTCAACCTAAGTGAACACTTGTGGGACCAGCTGTTTGTGCCAGAGTGACCAACACAACCATGTTGGCTGACTTGCGACAAATCCTGCTTGAGGAGTGGAATGCCATCCCACAGCAGTGTGTGAGCAGGCTGGTGACCAGCATGAGGAGGAGGTGCCAGGCTGTTGTGGTTGTGTATGGTTCTTCCACACGCTACTGAGGCTCCTGTTTGTTAAATGAATAAATTGTAAAATTGCCAACATGTCTTGTTTCTTCCTTGTTACTGATAGACTTCAATCATCCAATCCACCAAACAACACCAAACAAGAGTCAATAGCAACAGCAGAATACGCTGTTTGGCATTGGCAGAGAAGATTTGGCAAATTTTTCATGGGCGCAACCCACATACTCAGCTGTGCTGCTCATCCCACAAATGCATGTTCCTTACAAATGGGGCACCGTTTGAAAGGTAAATAAACAGGCTTTCCAACGGTATAACATTTATTGCCAAGAAGCATTGTTACAACAGAGAAATAATCTACCAAACACAAATTTCCGAACTTGTTGTTCGATGTTTATATATACAGTATGTACATTGTACATATATATATATAGAGAGAGAGAATTGTTACAGTCATCAGTTCACGGCGACTCACAGAGCATAATACATCTAGAAAAGAAAATTATACATGATCAGAAAGAACTAAAGATCACACGAGGGTGTCCTATCTTTCCAAACTACTGACAATACAAAATAAAAAAGGGGAAAATGTCAACTTTGTCATAAAATTAGTAAATTGTCAGGCTAAAATGTAGCAACAATTTGAACTTAAATACAAGAAATGCGTCTCAACATGTTTGTTGTGGAGAATTTATACAAAATGGTGCTGCTCGGAGCATCAAAGGGCAGCGTTTTTAAAAGCGGGGTTTTTAACAGGACCATCAAACTTAACAGGACCCGGGGTTCGGCAGGGTCCCGGGGTTCGTACATATATATGTATACATACCTACTGACCTGCAATGCAATGCAGCCCAAAAATATTTTTTCCCATAGACCACCACTGTAAAAGAGACATCTGCAAAACTGTTGACTTGACACCTCCAGCTATAAACATGGTCAATTATGACTACTATCAGAATATTTTTAAGTTATGAGGGTTTAATCCTTATAAAATCCCAGAAAAGTCACTTTGTTCTGAATTACATCACCATGTTTGTTCACGTCACCCAGCTGGCCCAGAGGCATGATGGGATTAACACTACTGCACATATTCAGTGGGCTGCATCACCCCTGAAGTAACCTCAAAGCTAGAAACTTTTCTTGCCGTTCTCATTTGACTGAATAGGCAGCATCTTGGGCTCCAGTATCCTGTTCATGGATACATGTATGAAGTGGATGCTTGGGTCAAACAAACACAGGACTTTCACCCAGGAGACTGCTGTTCAGGTCCCATGTGAAAACAAAAGTCAATGGTAGACTTATTTTACGTACTTAACTAACACCACCTACGCTAACAAATTACGCAACATACTTTTTAAAAAGTTGTTTTGTTTCAATTCACAACGTGGAGTTTCACTTTCACAATAGGTGCAGGGTGGCCATCTGCCGCATTAGAGTGGTCGTGAGAACCACTGATAACGCCAATCAATCGGCTGACAACATTCAAGATGGGTGCAAAAACGCTCAGTGTATGTAGCCTATGATTCATTTCATTGATCAACTATTAGACAGCACCTGAATCAGCCTTCAAAAACCATAATAAGTTATCTCTATTTAAGCTCCCCCTAACCTACTTTTAACTATTTAAAAAAAAGTGTATATTCTTAGAACGAGGAAACAGCATGGAGAGCAAACCTGTGTACCTGACGTCTGACTTCTTTGTGTTCTCAGAAAATTGTCCTCTGTGCACAAGTTAACAGGATGAGGGGCCGATGTGAAACCATGGAAACAAACCAGACAAAAGCTCTGCCAGCTGAATCACTCTGGCACAATTACTGCGCTGCCTCAACCGTCTCTGTTCTCTTGTTTTTCTCTCCCTTTCTCTGTCATGTACAAGGTGCCCGTGTTTTACTCCAGCAGCTCTGACCGTATGGAAAAGAGCCAGTGTTTAAAGCTGCCTGATGTTCCATATATCACACCATTCAGTGACTGTTTAATCATCTCAAATGTGCAAGTTTCCTTTCATTAGTCAATTAAAACATTTGACATCAACATTGGTTTTCATTGGAATATAGGCGTAGCAGATCCTGAGCAGTAAAGTCCATTTTAGTTCTATTGCCCACAATCACACATTTTTCCAGAGCTTTTTGTAAACACCAAAACCAACAAAGTGTTAGCCCGTCTCTCTCATTTCTACTTTCTTACTTCCTGTCTGTGGCTCTCAGCTTAAAGCCCATTGGTTTACAACTCTTTAAACAAAACTCACGAATATTTAGTGTCATTTAAAAAACAAAGGGTTTAGTTATGTTCCAAACCAGCTGTTCGCTGTAGTATTTGTGTCAGGAGGACGGTGTAGGTGAGACTGAGTCAAAATAAACTACAGTGTGTGTGTGTGTGTGTGTGTGTTTTCAAGGTAATGAAGGAACAGGTCACCCAGGGCCACAGTGAGGCTTGTTGGTGTGTTTTCTATAGTTCTTGGACAACAATGGAGCTCTGTGGCACATAAAGACAAACACAGTACTCGTTAGTAAGATCAACCCTTCGCTGAACCTCAAGCCTGAACCGCCAGGTCCAAGCACAACTTAGAAACGTACTGAAAGGTGTGCATGGTCTGTAGTAAGACTGATACTTGCTAAATAAAGAGTTTGGGGTTCATGTCTTTTTATAGCCTTTTTCAAATCACAAGAGCAAAAGTGTGGGAATGGAATGAACTGGAATTGTTGTTGATCAGTTAGCACACCCTGCTAGCTAGCTTACTATCTACAGTAGTAACTATAGTCTATAGTAGCATTACTTTCGAGGCCAAGTAGCGTATAATTAGCTAAAGGTGCCTCAAACAGAGAGCTGTTGGAGCCAGGCAGTGTCCATGTTCTATACTTTGAATCAGCGGCAGCAGGGTGCAACGCCTACTTCCGACCCTACCAGCTTGTACACCACAGGCTGCTGCTATCCACCTAATATAATCTCATCATGCAGCTAGCGGGCTGTAGCTTAGAATAGGGAAAATGGCTTGCAATATGACTGATAATGATGAATATTAATATATATATATATATATAATATAGCAGGTTCTGCTAAGTATGATTAACCTTCATGTCTACATGTACTGCTAGAATGGAAAGTAGGACTGGTGTAACATTAACTAACTAACATTGTTTGTTTTGATCTTTTTAGGGAATTTCTTGACAATAAGTAAATAATAAAGAGGGTCATTGCTTTCAAATAGAAAGTAATAAACGTAACAAACACAATGCTAGGTAAATGCCATATAAGAAGCAGTGTCCCACACCACATTTGAAGGTTTTTTTTTGTTGCTTTGAATTGACTATCACAAAATACTCTATACTATAAATAATAATAATAAGATATAGCTGAGGGTTTTGCTGGGCTGTAAAGCAGCAACAGTTCTCACCTTTAGTTTGACGAAGCGAAGTTGCAAACGACCTCCTTCAGTGTACACTTCAGTCCTTTGAAATGTCCGCTAAAAAGGTTTGATACATTTGACACCTCGTGGAAAAGGAGTTTAACCGCCCAGATAAGGCTCCACATCCTTTAGGTAATTAGCGACGCTTCTATTTTGTGCTATTTTGGTCAGCAGAGGATGTGCAGTTTCTTCAGACAGCCTGCAGTTGTAGAAGGTTCTGATTCAGAGCACATGATGTGCTTTGGGTTTTGTCCTTCTACATGGTCTCCTCTCTGCAATATTGAGAAAGAACTGTTGTTACACATAACAGGACTTTTATGCGTTTGTTTCCCCTCAGCTGGAGAAGAAAGAGATGACGCCGCCCTTCAAACCTCAGATCACTGATGACTACGGCCTCGAAAACTTTGACACGCAGTTTACGAATGAACCAGTGCAGCTAACACCAGACGATGCGTAAGTACTGCCGTTGAATAAAATACAAGTTATACCAGTGAAATCGACTGTATGTGAATCACTAAGAGCACTTGTGTTTAAAGATGTGTTTGCAGGGACTGGAGATTTGCCTCAGGTCATGTCTGTCATCATGTCTGTCATCATGTCTGTCATCATGTCTGTCATCATGTCTGTCATCATGTCTGTCATTTCTCTGTTTTGTGACTTTTCAAGTAACTACATGATGACAACTTTGACGGCAATGAATCATGACATAAGTCAGGCAGGTTTTTGGTCCCTGCCATGTTGATAGTGTAGTGAAACGTGAAAAACATCAGACATTTAAAATCATCTTTGAATTAGTCATGATCATCAAACATAATAAGACTACAGCTACAGCATTGTTCTGTTTTTCAAACATATTTTATTATTTTATTTGTGGAAACGTGTCTAACCCTAACCCCCTGTGGGAGTGTTTCCCATGACTTCCTTTGAGTGGCAATCGAAAACCTGCGTTGCTAGGAGACAAACTGTTCCCTTCTATGGTTGGCTGATGTCTGTGCCTTTTAAAACATTCAACATGTTTGAAGACCGTCATGCTGTTCGTGCAGTGGAGGGGGGGGACTCACAGCAAGGGGCTCAAGTGTAGTTGTAGTGTTGAGGTCACAGATGGGGCGGAGCAATCGGCAGCGACGCCGGCCCCCAAGCTAAAACTAGTGTTCATTTTTCACCTATTGTTTTTATGTTTCCACGCCGACAACAGCTGGACCCAAGGATGAACTGATCACATTCACTGTGACATCACAAAGGGATAAGATGATGAAGTGATGACATTTTGGACAGACTTGATGTAGACTGCAACAGTTGGCTGTAGTTCTAGTTCAGTAGTCCTGTTTCTAAAGTCCTCTTATGATTGTGCCGTAGTTAGTCAACCTCGTCCTGTTCTTGACTATTCTTAAGTGTCAGTTGCCTAACAGTCTGGGCAGTTTAGTTGTATTTTCTCTAAAGAAATTCTAACTATTTTTATACAGTTTTAGTGAATGAACACTGGGCATTTTAGTTTTTTTTAAAGTAATCAGATTAAATTCAACATTTCTGTCTTTGTTCCCCTCTAGTTGTCACTGTTAACAATAACTGCTCATTGTGTGCTGCTGCTGTAGTAATGATACGGCACAAGCAGCACAGGAAACACTACTGCTGCATTGAAGAAAAAAAAAGAGTATTCGCTTTTATAACAGTCTGGTCGTCACGTCACAGTTAGTGTTAAACGTGTTGGTGTTAGTGGCCCCAGGACCAAACTGTGATTGGACTTGGCAGCTGTGAATGTGTACAGTTAAAAAGGTGATCAGACCTTTTCATGGTCACACAGAGGTTGAAAAAGACGTGACGTGTTTTCAGTGGGTGGATGTTGTGCCATCTTTTTCCAGAGAACTTCTGCATCCAATAAAGAACCCCCCCCCCCCCTGCGAGTTCCCAACATTGACGTCTTCATCCATCAGCGACATTGTTTTGATTAATGCGAACGTGTAGCCTTCAGGATCCGACAGGAGCGCTGGTTTAAGACTGAACTTTGGAGAGAAAAAGCTGGAGAGATCTGGCACAACAACAGACACGTCCGAGGCTCCACCGCTGCAGACCAGAACACAAGCATGGCCTGTTCTCCTCCGTGCCGTCACAAAATGATTCCATAAGGCTTTGGCATGCCCCGCTGATAGATATTACCAAGCTTATGTCAGACAACATTTTCATTTCAGTCCATGCTGGATTCATTTTACAACGCTTATATTTTTCCTGCAAAGCTTTTATTGGACTGATTTTAGCAAACCATTTCTCAACAACCACACTGATCAAAAGCAGGAGCTGAGTGGAACAATTTAGTAAATCATGCACTCCGCCCAAAAGGCATCATTATTAGCAATTTCATCAACGACATTAGGACATTTAGTAAGAGCTTTTTAAAAAAGGATTGTGATTTCAAACACTTTATAATGTCCTATACATGACTAAGGGCTAGGATGCTACCTACAGCTTCCCACACAATGACAAGCAATGAGTAAGAATCTGATTATGAAGGGATTTGGGTGCATGAAACATTGTTCATGCTTTTCATCAGCGTTCATGGAGAAATTTATTATTAATGATTACCGTTAGAATACTGTTCTCTGTGATATTTTTGGCCACAATAATCACGGCTTTATATCCAACCAGATACGTCGTATGTGTAATCCCTGTTGAGGGCAACAAGACATGAAGGATTCAGGATGCTTGAAACAGTGATATGACTTGTTGTCCGACCACATCTAGGGGCCAAATGTGTGTGCACCTGTTGTGAATGTCCACACTGACTACGGTGAAATGCCTGGAAATCCCTGACCTCTCCACAGCTGTGTCTGTTAACTCTTCGTAGTCTTGACACAAGGAATCGTGCAGCTGGGGATGAGGTGGACACTATCAGACAGTCTTTCCCTGAAGACATTCAGTGTTGCACTTTGAGTTTGAGTCTGAAGAATGAAAACAGAGACCTTCAGGAAGAACACCAAACTCTCGCTCACTTTCGCACCTTAGCACTGTAAACATAAAGTGTACGTGAATGTCTGCTCTGAAGTGTTTTCAGACCCCCACCCTTTTTTTGACAGGGGGTTTTGGACTTTGTTAGGCACTTATTCTGCATTTCCACTGCATGGTACAGCATGGCTCTACTCGACTCGCTCTTTTCTGGTTTTCCATGAGCAAAAGATCAGGTTAGTACCTGGTACTTATTTTGGTACCATCTCGACAACGGTCCAAGCGAGCTGAGCTGAGGTGGAGTTAAAGCGCTGCAGACCACAGGTCAGCGAGAAATCGTCACTAGCGCGACATGGGACATCCTGCACTGACCTGCCATTTTGAAATAGCCAAGCTACCGTCAATAGTGACCGCATTTTTTTAAATTCACTCGATCCAGATTTTCAAAAATGTCAGGCTGTAAAACTACGCCATAGATACACTACGTACGCTATGCTGTACAATTCACAGTGCAGACGTTTCTGTTTTGGTTGCTGATGAAAGGATTCAGCTAATGTTGCATTGAAGAGGATGTCACTGCGGTTCCACGCGGATCGCTACGGCAATCCGCTAAGAATCCCGCCCACACTGAAGGGTGGTGCTGCAGCACGGTTTCATGTCTTTGCCCTCTCCATAACAAAAGATCATGCTGGTGCACAGCAAGTCTGGCACTGAGAGCCTTCTTGACTTCATACTGTGAAATGAAGCAGAATTAGGATTGTCTCCAAAGTATATGGTGCCATGTTTCGTATATACTCCACCAGTTCAGCAAGGTTGTACTTGGAGACACACAAAGACACCATCGTGGCTTTTTCCTTCTTGTGCAACTTGGAACTTTTGAACATGTACAGCAATGACTACGCCATTGTGAAATGGCAAGGGCTTCCAGTGTTAATTGGAGCCTTATTAAATGCCCATCATGCTCTGCACCCATGACAGATGTCTTTGGGTAACTACCATGGCTCAGTTTGAATGTGCCGTACACCTCTGCTGTTCACTAGACGCTGAACTTCAAACCAGCCTCGGAGTGGGTGAGCCTCGAAGCTCATTAAAGGCCTACAAAGAGACGGCTCTGCCGCTCATCCCAGCTCATTTGTGACGGCGTTCGACGAGGGGAGTCCGTGATAGACTTTTAGGGAGGCAGTTGTGGAAGAGGTTGGGGTGGTGCAGTGAGGGGAAGAGGGAGATGAGTGGGAGAACGGGGTGGGGAGCTCACTGCCAGTGGAGTAGTGGAGATATCAACGTGGCATCAAACACCACGACACATCAAAAGAAGACACATGCCTCCTCCCTGCGTCTCGCACTTTATCTCCACACCCCTTTCTCTTCCCTCTGTTACCAAGGAGAGGGGCTGATGTCGCCCACTCCTGCTCTGGGAGGGAGTGATGCAAAAAAGCTCTCCAGTCTCCCCTCTCTCCCACTCGTGATGGGCTTGGCATGAGAAGAAAGAGAAGTGGGAGCCGTGTAGGGAGAAAGAAGGGTAAACCCTCCATGTTTGAGATTTACATTGCGACATTAAAAGCCAGATTTGCTGGGGGCCCTTGCCAGCGTGGGGAGGGGGAGGGGGAGAGAGGCTTTAGTTTTTCTATGCCAGTTCCCTGCCTTCGAAAATGGCCTGCCTCAGCCAGTGCCCAGAGAAGCGTACTTTCTTTCTTCTTCTGTAGCCTTGGTCATTGGTTGTTGTTTTCAGGGCCTTGGAGGTCCGCTTGGTTCTTAATGCATGTCATGCAGGTCCTACACTGTTTGGATATCATAATGTTAGATGTAACAAATTTCTGCCCCATAAAAAAATCATGTCATGTTGCGTCCATCTATTTCAAATATTGACAGGCAACACTATTGCCTTGTCTATTATATTCATCATTCTTTATTTTGGAATGCCCAAATCCCCGTGCAAGACTCACAAGTCAAACAGACCATAAAGCAGAGTATGCTTTGGGGCGGGGCTACACAGTGATTGACAGGTCACTACATATACGGCGTCTCTACGTCACTCCTCCACATTCCAAATATGGTAACTTCGATGATTGGTTGCGAAAAAAACAACATGGTCACGGCCGTAATCCAAGATGGCGAACTCAAGGCTTCAAAACATCAGTCCACAAACCAACGGGTGACGTCACGATGACTACATCCACTGCTCATATAGTCTACAGTATACCTGGAACTGTGTCAGGTCCCTGCACTATTCATTGTGCCCGTGTACGTTAAATAATTTGTCATTTCTTTTTTGTTGCCCTAACATTTTTACTTCACCTCACCCCTCCCAAAGCCAGTTTGCACCTATTAGTTTCCACTTACGTCTTCTCATCAACTTAAAATTGCACCAGCCTGAATGCAACATAAAAACAAATCAAAACTCTGCCGTGAAACCTTCAGTACCACACAGTAGTAGTAACATCTACTGTGTACCATTGATGCTTGAGATGGTTACAATCATTTCTTAGACTGACAATAGCTCCAGTCTTGTAGGTTTAATATTGGAACAAAATGTTAGTATTTGTTTTCCAAAACCACTTAAAATACTTGTTCTGTCCCTCCCACTTCCCTCCCTCCTCTCCGCTGCCCCTTCCTCCTTCTATCCTCTTCATTCTGCATCTGGCAATGCTTTCAAGTCATCCAAGCCTGGAGAAAAAGGCAACATTTACGTTGGTTGAACACACTGTTTGTTTTGGTCAAACCCTCTCCTCTCTCTTTTGTGTCTTTGTGTTTTTTTTTTCTGCCTCTCTGTTCTCTCAGAAACTCTATTTTCTAAAAGTAATTTTTGTATTGGTGGTTGACCCACTCCTACGGTGAAAGTACTTCACATGAGATCAGATGGAGGGGAACTACTTGCTTCATCAGTATTCTAGTCTGAGAACTGACACTGTAGCATTTCATTCACTTGTCCTTGCGCTCGATGTGGGTGGTATCAGCAACCTGTTCAACACTGGCAGAGGCCCCCTACACCGGGGGGGAGGGGCAGTGAACACACCTATTGTTTTTACTTCAAAGCCCTCCAGCCCAGTGTCTGAAGGGAGAAAGCCTCTCGGCCTTTCCCCAGGGAGAGGTCTCCTTCTTGGGCTTCAGTTCCTCTCACCATCACCACACACACACACACAGATGAGTAAATAGCCTGTTGCTGCAGGAGAAGCAGCAGTGTTGCTAAGGAAGTACGTTTATTTTTACCCAGCCACTCTGAGCCCACTAGTTATGGGGTTCCGCTCCATTTACCTGTGATTATGCCTTTTTTAATGGAAGCAAAGAAGCAGTTTGAGTTCCTCTACTGGGTAGTCCACACCGTGTTCCTCCTGTCTCAGATGCCATTTTACAGGGTTTAAAGATTTATTCTGAGTGAAAATAATTAAGACCCATCAGATGGTTTCCAGGGTGTAGACGTTCTGCAGGACAGCAGGAGCAGGTACCAACACAAACAGGAAGTTGTTGTTGTTAAGTGTATTATCAAAGGTAATCTGTCCAAGTCACTCAAAAGAAAGAAGTCATCCTGATTTCAGTCACACGTCTCCAGTCTCTCTCCTAGAAGTAGACCACCTCTCATCGCTGCCAACGTCTGTCTTGAAAAACTGTAGAAAAGTTTCACGTCTCCGGTGTGCCTTGATGATGAATGTAACATATTATTTTTGCGTCAAACATATTCAAGTTTTGGAGTGTCTTATTTGATTTGTCAGTCATTAGTCATAGCCTATCTCCAACGATCTATCTTTGTCAACATATTGAAGATAGTAGGAATTCTTGGATGTGTATGTAATCTATGCACGCTGAACTTGGTTTGCTTGCCTCCACTTTGAGATGCTGGGGATGTTGAGTGAACTGATTGTGTTGACAGAAGTTAGCCCGAACATTAAAGATACTCTGTGGAGTTTTTCTCATGACTGATCGTTGCAAAAGTTGAAATCAGAAAGGTTGGGCCTGGAGGAAATGTTGGATAAAAGTTTTCTAGAATATTGTGTTTTTTGAAAAAGATGTAGCGGGAAGCTTGTTAGGACGGATGATTGGCATCCTGCTACAGAGGTGGTCACATCTCACTGGAGGTGTGATGAATACCAGTTATGGAGACGCACCATCCCGATTCAGCAGCGGCATCGATGCTTAACTTCGGCGCGGTCACACCAGTGAGTGGTGTAGCATCATCAATCCATGCGTCTTTGTGAGATGTGTGCTTCTAGAAGTGGCTACTTGCAGGGCTAGCTGTCTGACCTCTCCTGGGTTTTATTCTCATTGTTGTGCTCCATTTAGTTTGATGGAAGATTGTTGAAGAGGGAAAATAAAACCTTTTTATTTTTGATTAGCAAACTTCAAATTGTTTTACGACACATAACGTGTTTTATTGAAAGCATGTATTTCTACCTTTCACTCTGGACTCGGCTGTCTGTTCTCTCAAAGATCGGCAGCATCAGGATGCTTTGCTTTTGGTCACGCTGCAAATCTGTGGATCAAAATTCACAAAAGTTGAACTTGCCGATTGGATTTACTTGCCCCACATTGGGCCCCACCACCACAGGCCACGAGAACATAATGATGTTGTTGTTGTATATAAATGTACCTTTGTTCTGGAGGCACACATGTGGAAATTAATAATAAGAATAAAATCGATCCATCTACATTTTATATAAACACTCTTAAATCAAAATTGGTTTAAGCTACTGGGACCAAATGTAGTGCTCGTGATCAGATGCAGCTTCTCTGCACAGCAGTGACACATTCTGTCTCTAAAAGGCGGCAAAAATTCAAAATTGCACATTTTTTCTGAAATTAAGGAAACATGAGGTTTGGTTCTTCTCCATCTTTCTCTCCCAGATTTCCCGTCTTTTTTTCCTACTTAGTCAAAGCATAAAATGCCCCACAAATAGTTGACCCTTTTCCAAACTCACTATGACACACTGATCACAAGCACAATGATTCATGGGTCAGGTTGCAGGTATTGAAATCTGTATCGATATGGGCTCTCTGTTCAGAGCTTGATCCAGGTTTGCTGTGGATGACAACACCACCTCTAATTCTTCTCTGTCTCCCTCTCCTCAGGGACGTCATCAAGAGAATAGACCAGTCAGAGTTTGAGGGATTTGAATACATCAACCCCCTGCTGCTATCCACAGAAGAGTCTGTATGAAGGGGAGACCAGCTTCCTCCTTCGCCCACCTACTGTCTGTCCAAGCTGCCGTCTCAGCCAAAAAACACTCGCAAGCCAACTCTGAAAGGCGAGGAGGAGGAGGAGGAGGAGGAAGAGTAAAGGACCACAGGGAGGAGGACCTCAACCTCTGGACCTTGTCAACGAGGCAGAGCAAACTGGAGAACGGGAAAGGTTCCTTCTGGACCATTCAGATTGTTTTGTTGGAATACCAAACTCGTCTTTTCTTGGCATCTACAAGGAAAACAAAGACTTCAAGAACATTCCCTGACCTTCCGTTTTCTTCCCCTCATCTGTTCTTTTTCTCCCGCCGCTTCATTGCGTCCTCTCTGAATGTCCATCCTCATGTCAAAGCTTCATGATTTGAACAGTCGTTCATTCCGTGCCTGCCGTCATGAACACATCTCAACCCGTCGCACATCCCTGGAGAAATATGACAGTTCTGCTGAAGAGCTTGAAATTTTACATGCACTTTTTGTCTTTAGTTTCATTTATCTTTCATTCTATCTTTAGGGGGGGGGGGGGCACGACGCCTCTCACAAAACAAGAATGTACAATGACAAAGGAAAACACATTAAGTTATTGTGTATTATAATGTAGGTAGTGATGCCTTTTTATTGATGCAAGTGGCACATTTCCATCCTAAACACAACCTTCTTTTTCTTATCTTGTAGGATTTTCACTAATGGGGGGGGGTGTTGATTACTTTTTATTTAAGAAGTGCCTCAAAGATCATACTGATTACCATGGCTCTGATTGCACTTATGTCTTCTAGAACATTTCCTGACCCATCCCGGCTCCAGTAAAGACCAGCTGACACCACGGCTGACTCTGAGCAGGGTTGGTCCAGACCATTCACATTATTAGTGGGATCTCATCTTTTGGAGCACAGTTGCCTCAGTCCTGAAACATGACTGGATCTTTAAATTTTTTATGGATCAATTCAGATAATCGTTGTAGAACAGTTTATTTAAACCAAGCTAACATCACATTTGACCACAGCTGGTGGCAGTAGGAGATAACGCCCGATGTGGCGATGTTTTCCCAACGCCATGATCATTTAGAAATGTCACAGATGGGAGTCGTCCATACAGTCCCGTATCGGTATAAAGGTGTACACGGGCCACGGCCAATCCCAGCCTGGCAGCTTCAGAAACACATTAAATGAGGACGTCGGCTTCAGCCTCCACAGTGTGTACAGGCTTGCTGGCCGAGCTCAGATTCTTCTACACCAGCTGCCACTGCGGGACCATCTGCAGCCGGTTGGAAATGTCATGTGACTGGTGGGTCGTGCTGTCTTGTGGAAATGTGTCTCCATTTCCATTTTTGGGCTCATTGTGTGTTTCCATCCCCGCACCAAGGCTGGCTTCACATGGTGCTACTACAGCTCTACCTAGACTTATTGCAGTCAATGTATTCTTAACAGTTTTATTTCTAAAGGGAATAAAAGGTCTTTAGAAATGCCGTCGTGTTTGTTGGACAGCTGAGCCGACAGGAGCAAAGACATCGTAAACTCACTGTCACTGGTGACTGTAGAGTACAGCACAACGGACAGACAGCGGTGTGTTAGCAGCAGTGTTGAGTTCTACAAGCATCAGGAAACCAAAAGATATCAAACATGTTATTTCTGACATAAAAGCACAGGACATGTCAACTGCAGATATTCAGTTTGATTTGAGGAATCCACTTCAGTCACATGTCTCCTTTGTTCTATTGTTTGGTCATATGGAGAGGAATACGATGTTTCTCTTCTTATTTTAATGCTTTAACTTCAAACATTTTAGTTTGTTGGTATTTTTCTTCACTTCAAATTGAAGTTTGCATTCCACGTAGTCCTCAAACTATAGGAACACTAACTTGTGATGGGACTTTGTCATCATTTTAAGACATTATTTAAGAATTGAATCACTCAAAACATTTGGGAGCTTATGGATCGGTTATTGTGAATAACAGCTGTAGTTCTGTCACCTCCCACACATCGTTAATGTGACCCGTTAGCTTTTTAGAATAGCTGTGGATGATTAATAAAAGTCTACTATATCTGAAAACAGATAAGCTCAGATTGTTCCTAGAAGTCTCTCACAACATTCTGTAAAAAGTTGATCCGGTCTGTCCGTCCACATCGTGCCATGAGGCTGAGCATCTTCCTGTACTCTACCACAACAAACTGTGAAACACCGGCACTCCTCTTTACAACTCATGCACATTTCCATCGTTGTCTCCTAGCAACAAGTCACATGACGCATTAACAAGCAGCGCAGATCACATGAAGGGTAAAGAAAAAGCTTTTATTTCTCTCCGATGTGTTGCGAGACACTTTTTGGAATATTTCATGTTGCGTTTTCAAGGACAAACGCATTCAAACACAGCATGTCACCATTCAATGATAAATAACATATACCATACATCAAATAAACAACGCAGAATTTAAAAAACAAAACAAATGACATGACATCACTAAACATCTCGTACCACGGGTCATATTCAAGCACAGCCCATACACAGCTAACCAGAGAGCGCGTGGTGCCGTGGAACAGTTAACGTCTCTTCTCTAGAGGTACACAACTATGAACTTCAGAGGGACACATTCAAATAGAGAGAATTGAATTTGAATGCATTACATTGTTTTAGCGATGGCCAGCGGTCTGATTGTGTGGCTATTTTTAAGGTTTGATTTATTAAAGTTACCAAAAAACAAATCTCCGGTTCCAGTAGAAAGACAACCCCACGAGTTGGCTGTCACATCACCTCTGTAGTGGAGGGTAACATGGGCCACAAAGGGGTGAAATATTGGAGTTGTATTGATATGGAGTGATATAGAGCTTTAACATAGAGGGAACACCATTTCTGTCCCATAGTTAACCATTCAGAGTTATTCATCTGGAGTATTGTGTTGTTCTGGAGCTCCGGGTGACCCAACACAGGGGGTCAGCTCAGTGCTGCACTGTTGAAATGAGCTCATCTGTATACAGTTAGCTTTTAGTGTAACTTCATATACACAGCAAGCAACACAGTGGTGAGGCCGGAATCAGATCTGTTGATATGAACTAGGAGCACGGATTAGAGTCCCCGACACAAAGAGCTCTGTGCTGGTCTGAGGCGAGGAGCTCTCCATTGGCTGAGATGGAGCTGATGGAATCTGACCCGTGCTAATTTGATAACCTCATAACAGGATTAATTAGCTGATCCTGAGTCAAATGGTCTCAATTAGCCGTAGGGCCTTTACAGGCAGAGGAGAAACAGATAGAGATAATGAAACAGTTTCATAGTCACCGATTAGTCCCCCCGTCCCCCCCACACCACACCACACACACTTCAGGAAGCTAGAAATCACTTCAACAGTTGAGGCTTCCTCCTCCAACCCCCCAAACTCCATCTCATTTGCTGCATTTTATGAGAGTTTATGATTTGTTGATCTATTTGCACATTGTTTTTTTTCTTGAGGGACCAATGGATGAACCACTTTACAGAACAGTGAAGGCGCCTCAAACGTCTAAGAGAAAGAGAATCTTTATCTCTAAATGAAGTCGCTCCATGATTTTTGTTCTAAAATAATGCTGGTTGGATATGCTTCATTTTGCTTCACCGCATCTTTGTAAATATGTGTAATTATTAAAAATGATACTGGTTTTCCGTGAAATGAGTTCTTCCTTTTTTGCAGACAGCAGCAGAAATCTCTTTGCAGATGCTACAGCTGTGTGTGTGTGTGTGTGTGACCCCTCTTCATACTGGGAGACTAGAAACATGCAATGAATTAATATGAACCATCTGACACCATTTTCTGTGTTTATTTGATGCAGATAAAATGAACTTAAAGTGTTGACTAGATGAATATTAAATCTTCAGCATAGAGTCAGACCTGATCAGAGACCTGTTCACTACTTACTGAGACAATCGATCTATTGTTGCTCAGTTTGTCAAAGCTTTACAACGCTTCTCCTCGATACATTGAAAATGAAAGCTCAACATTTTCTTCAGAGTGTGAGATGAGAGCGTCAATGTTATTGTCAATGTCATGGTTACGACCAGGCGACAACCTCTAGTTGATTGGTTGCGGAAAAAACAACATGGCGACGGCCGTAATCCAAGATGGCGACGGCGAACTCGAGGCGTCAAAACATCAGTACACAAACCAACGGGTGACGTCACCATGACAACGTCCACTTCTTATATAGTCCATGGTCACACACACATCATATACTATGACATATTTACCATTCTATGGCACACTATGCTATTTCATATTTAATGACAAACCATACTATTACCTTTTTGTAGTTTATTTTAGGACATACTATACCATGACTTCCTTTATGACATTTTAATGACATACTATGACATATTTTATGATACATTTTATTATTAGTTTTTATGGCATATTTTACTACTTTTAGGACAAACTATAGTATGACATATTTTATAGCAGAGCATACTATGGTATATTTTATGTTCATGATCATATTAATGCTCAAACGGTAGTTCATGGACAGTTTAGTTGAAATATTTGTAATAGTTGAACATAACTTTGTGTTTGGGGAGCTCTGATAGAATAGTAGTTCATTCTCAGAGGGGAAAAGGAAAATGTTAAAATTATTTTTCAGGACATTTTCCATGTTCTCTCTGTGTTTTCAATGACTGGAATATTGATGAAGGGTGGGCTTCATCACAGTCACGTTTGGTGATGACATGGATTTTGCAATACCGTCTACACCGAGAAACACACACGTTTTAGTTTAGCACACAAGTGAGGACGAGGGAGCTGCAGCACCGATGAGCTACGTCCCTCCCACAGTTCATACGTCTACGGTTACGAACAGGCTACCGTCCATCGCTTCGGCACAGACTCTTGCTGTATACAGTATATTTAGGCACCATGTTAACAGGTTAGAGTTTTCTATTTTTGCTGAGAAAAAAACCTTTTTTAAAGCTAAATTTTTTGTATTGCTGAGATCAGCAGCATGGCTGCTACTAATGCTACTGACTCATCAAACATTACAGTTACATTATGGGGCCAGCTACTTCTCCCAAAACACACGTGGGTCCATTCCAGCTTTCATTCTTATGTGGAGCCAATAAACATCCATTGTTTCGCTTTCTTAGCATATTTACACAGATTTACGTTTTGAGTAGAGTATCCCTTATATTTTATAATAATATAATATAATACAGTTACCACAAATACCCTCAGAAAATACTGTCATATCAGTTTTAGTTCATATCACCCACCCCTAAAATTGGTTAACTGTTTTCCAGGACGCATGGGAAACCCAGAATATGATCCTGGAGAGAGTGTGTGTGTCTTCTCCTGTCGGCTCACCAGGTCATGTCCACATTCACCTCTGACAGACACTGGGCCAGGTGGCCATCACAGTCCATTTGGGTGAACCTGGAGAGACAGGAAGGAGATCTGCTGTTGGTACAGACAGTAAACTTTGATTTGGGGTAAAAACTAACTTCATATTTGGGCTCAGCTGTCTGGCAGTTGGTAACTTTGTGCAAATATGATAAGTTATTTTCATAAAACTGTCCCTGTATCCTGACAGTTAGGACAGATAATCTATGAAAACATTCTGGTTCCTCTGCCTCCTTTTAGTTCTCCTAACACCATTTTCATAATTTCACCACGATCGAAGGAACACAATGAGAGCCGAGGCTCTCCAACGCAGCTGTCAATCACTGCTGGTGAACAAATTCAGATTAAACTGTCACTCAAGGGAGCGCTGATCAAATATGAATCTAGTTTCCGTTACTGTACTGTCTATTTCTCACCTCAGATGTTCACAGAAACACATCACTGTAAAACAAACACAAGTCCAAGTATATTAAATAGTATCTGTATGAGTGGAGGTCAGCCCTCCTCTGTGTCCATTCACATCATTGTTTCACAGCCTGGTCCTGCAGCCCGGCCAACCTACAGAGAGCCTAGCTCAAGAGCCACCAAGAGTCAAGAGTCAAGAGTCAGACCAAGACCAGACCAGGACCAGACCAGGCCAGGACAGCAGCACAAAGACAGAATTGTTCACACACAGCAACCAGTGTCCAATAAGGATGTCCCCATCGACTTCTTTTTGGCCCTGATCCAAGTCCTGAAACATCAGTCTGATCATATACCTTTAAATATGTATCAGACACATTAAACGTGATCAGCTATGGGCGACCTGTGGAACCACAGAACCACTCTCTACCACAGTGGAACACAGTGGAGTGCAGAGACTTTAACCAGATGAAGACACGCTCACTTTAAGCATGATATCCATCTACTCACAGAACCAACCTTTTCAAAATAAAATGATTAGAATGACTTACAGCTGATATGATCTACCACCTTTGTCATCTCAACAGGACAAAGTGACAGACATTTCCTAAAAATGAAAGCTGCAGCCTGAGTCCTCTGCTACTAAACAGACGTGGTCTTGATGTCAGTCTTTACCGACTCTGAAACGGCTCCATATCTGGTTGGTGGCACCAGATTTAACACATGACACGATCACCGGCTCCAACGTGGGTGGACTCTTAAAAAGGTACAGCTACAGTAAGCAAGGCGAGGGTCATGTGACCACTGGACGGCTACTTTTTGATAGCCTTGCTAATAAGGCTACTTGTGCTGTACTCAATGATGTATCATGGAGGACTGTGTGGCTGAGTCAGCCTAGAAGAAGAAAAACATGTCTGTAAAAACAAAAGGCCAATTTTAACTCTGTATCAAAAAGTTATATTTGTAAAAGTTACTCAGTATGTTCTCTAAGCAGTGACAGAACCATGAGGAGAACCACTATTTGGGCCTTTGATAGAAGGAACTGAATACAGAGAGGAACAGCCACATTTCCTGATTATATCCTTTTAGCTTCATGGTGTAACTGATGTGAACAACGTAGTCAACTTTTACAGTAACTATGAGTTACTGCTCTCACAATGAGTAGAGCACATGGAGGAATTTAAACTCCCCTAAAAGAAAACAAGAATGCTTTTAGTCCCGTGTAGAACATGGGGCAGTGGCGGGCCGTGTGTTTTATACCTGGGCCTTCAGTGCTGTCCTACTACAGTTGAACCACCTCCTAATAACCTCATTATGACGCCACAGCTACGGGTTATTAGGAGTGTAACAATACATTCTATTGAACCGTTAGGTGCGAGGGTATTACAAACCGAACAATACGTTTGAATAATACTAGTGCATTTGGAAAATGCAGAAGCTTAAATTGTGGGAAATATAATGTTCTCTCGGTGGAGCCACTGCGCTCAACCTGGTAACCCACCCAACGTAGCAGACAACGTGCTGTCTGACACGCCCACCATGGAAGAACAACATTGTACTCTGGTCAGGCTCGTGTGTTCTGGGAGGCGTGCTACGCTAAACTAGCTTAGCAGGAAAACCAACAGCAGGCTGAAAACTCTCCCCGCAGCGTTTAGCTGTTCCCTACTGATTCAAACAGGGCGCTATGCAGATGTAACAAAAAGAAAAAAGCAGTTCACTTACCAAAGCTGCTGTTCACTTAAAAACAAAGTCCATCCTCCTTTCTTTGTTAACAAAGAGTTTAATGCCATTTCATTGCCAACAACAAATGTAAATAAATCAATAAATATATAAAAAATATCAATATTCTTAGCAAAGGGCTAAATAAAGTTCAACACAGCTGCTCCCCTTATTAATAACTATGTATTAAACAACTCAATATACACTGACGGACGTATTGTTGTTACATAAATCTTTGACTCCACTGTTGAGGGTGCAGACCTTTAACAATAAACTGGTTAACAGCTGTGACACTCATCCACCTCTCCTGTCATCCTCTCTGTAGCTGCTAGCGTGAAGGGATGTGGGCTGAGGGGGGGGGGGGGGGGGGGGGGGGGGG